ATAAAGGCCACTTAGGTCTTCAGAAACAATTCCTGAATCTGGCAGGTAGTTTCAAGGAGTGGAGAAGGCCGCACTTATCTTTTTGAGCCTTTAATTTTGGAACATTTTGACTTTTCCAATAACAGTTGCTTCCCAAATTTAACATGTTTATTAGACTCAGAAAGAATATAAACCCTTAAATTGATGCAAAATAATGATTTTCAGAGTGTTCTTTTTGGCCGAGACGGGCATTAGTTGCTAAAACACAGCACGTTACAGACACAAAGCCACTCAGGCTCTTCTGTGACAGCCTCCTCCTTGCTCACAGTCATCTATTTAAAATTAATAAAAGCTTGGCGAGGGGCTCATTGAACAAAGCAGACACACGTGCCCTCAAACACAGGAGCACATCCTCGACTTGCTCTTTTTGTCCCCGGCCAGGTGCTTGCTAAAAATAAAGGGAAGAAAGCTGCAATTTTTATTAAGTGCAGTGGATAAAACTGTGCTCCTCCGAGGCTTTTTTATACCCTTTATCTTGGCAAGTTGGGCCTGGAGTCACTCAAACAAATAGAAATTCGAGGGAAAAAGTGTTTCTCCCCCATCCCTCCCATTTTTACTGCCCTTGAGAGTGTTTCTTTAGCTCAGCAGATCGAACCCGGCCTTTGATTTGTGTCAGTTGGGCGTCTTTCCTGGACGTGCTGCGCTCAGCATGTGCCAATAAAGGACGAGCCACCCTCCCTCTGCCTTCCCTTCTGCAGTGCCAGCTCTCCAGGAGCGCCACGAGGACCCGACGTGGTTTGGGGAGACCTAAACTGCTTTCATGGCAGTACTGAAAACTGTAAATTCAGGCAATGCGTGCACAAAACATGCTCATTTTGCTCTCACATAGGTAGAGTCCCTCTGTGGTGTTCAGAGCACTCGTTCGTGGCCGAGCTGCTTTGCTCTTCAGCCCCATAAACACTCAGGAGTTGGGTCTCTAGCGTCACTGGTACAAATTGTCTTCAGCTGCCTTTGAGAAAGAAATTGCTCTAATGAAAATCACCAGGATTTTCTGGCTGCGGCGCAGTTTTCTGGGAAACGAAACGAGGTTGCTCGCGTTGCTGCATGGAAAGATTTGTGTCGCGCTCCCGGGGCTCCACTGGAAAGATGGTCTGTTCCCTTTTCCGCGCCGGGTTGGAGGAATGACTGTCCCGCTGTAGATCCTGGAGACACGGGAGGAGCCTCCGAGGCCGCATTATCGGCACCATAAGATCCCGTGGGATTTTAGCTCGCTCGCTTCGGAATGGTGGCACTTCAGGAGCTCGCCATAGGGAAATGGGAAGTTATTCACATTCGAGAGCATTTTGAAGGCCAAATCCTCCCAGGCTGGAGGATGAGGCAGGAGCTGGGACTGCAAAGACGGAAGCGAGTTGTGTGTGAATGTGGATGCAGAAGGGGGATTTGCTTCTGTGCTTTGCATTAAAGGAGAAAGAAATCGGTAGGCACCGAAACAAGAGGCTCTTTTGCAACCCAGGCTCAACATGAGCCCCTCCTCTTACCCCAACAGTTTCTTCTAAAATAGCAAGAATTTGCTACTCCCTCCAACCTGTCCAACCTGGTGGCAAGTGGGTGACAGGAGCAAAGGCTACGGGGGCTGGCGGGAGAGCCAAGAGAGACACCCGGGCAGCACCATTGCGTAAGCACCGATCCCACAGGAAAAGAGCCTCACATTCCTGCATAAACCTCCTCTCTGGAAAAAAAAAAGGCCGTTTTTCACATCTGAGAAGCTGTCACTGGAAAAATATTGCCCAGTTCTAGCAAAACCTGCTCGTGTGTCCGTAAGGGCCCTGCTCCGCAGCCCCCCACTCGTATCCTGTGCATTTGCTGATGATATTTGGGTGATGAAATAGCCCTTATCCATATTTAGCTCAGGAGCAGCAAGAGGGGAGGTTTCTTGGTGCAACTGCGTGGCCAAAGCCGGGATTTACGATTGCAGGAGACACAGTAGCTGCAGCGCTCGCGTTTTGCTTTTTCCCTTCCTTTCTTTTTCTTTTTTTTTTTTAATTGTTTTCCTTTGAAATTCCAGAGTTAGTGTTTTGTCTGCTTTCTCCCTGACCCTCTTCGGAGGCGGCCGTGTGTTTTTTCACCAGCAAAACTGGAAACAAAGAATCGTTGTCTTCGAGCTGGAGCAGGCAGGAAACCCAACTCACAAGGGAGCCCGCCGAGCCAGCGCTGTCCCAGAGTAGACTGCAGTTCTCTGAATTCAACCTGACAGCTTGTCTGGAGCACTTTCTAAGTAACCATTATCCTTCCTTTTCTCCCAGCAAAAGAGCTGGGCTTTTTCTGCCCAGGGTGCGCTGCGAGCGCCGTTATCGCGCACGTGCGCGCGGGTTACGCGCGGGCTCTTTCCTACGACGGGGGTAAATTTACCCCTCGGGAACGAGTTAAACGGGCAACTGCTGCAAAAACTGCACGTCCGTGGGGGGCTGCGCCTTGGGGAGGGATTCTCAGGACACGCACGTCGGGGCTTGTGCAGGCAATATTAAAAAAGGCAACAGCAACCCCAGCCCTGTGGGTGCTTCCTCCTTCGCTTCCCAACGTGGCTCCGTAAGGGCAGGGGGACGCGGATCGGGAAGCTCCCCGGCCGCTCGGCCCCGGGGATGCTTTTCCAGCCCCGCTCGCGCAACTGGGGGCCGTCGCCTGCGGCCCAAAGCAAATAGGGAGCGACTCCGGCTTCCCGCGTGCCCACACTGGGGCTTTTCCAAGATATCCGAATGGTGCCGCCGCGCGCAGCCCGCTAGGAGAAGCAGCGAGGTCCCCGGCCCTCCTTTCCCTCGACTGCTTGCCACAAACTAGACCCTCAGTGAGCACTTTGGTTAATCACGAGTGTGGCTCCCCCAGGACACCTGGTTCTGCTTTCCCCATTTAGGGAAGCTAATTCACATTCCAGCCACCCAGCCAGGAGCTCTCCTCCTCCTGGAGCCGGAGGCCTCGCTGCCCAAACCACAACACGATCACAAGAAAAATCCCGTCGCCCCTTTCACATTTTCAGCCTCATCTGCATCCCTGAAATCCGAAAGGCCCAATCCCGTCTGGAAAGAAGATTCCCTAAACCGCAGCAGCTATTGACCCCAGGCTGTTTCCAAGCAGGGACAGGGGATCCAGATTTTATAGGCTACATGGTCTGTTCCGACGCCGGGAAAGGCACTTTGTGTGGAAAAGGCAGCTCGAGCCTCAGAAAAGTGCCCCGCTGCCTGTAAATAAATAAAATGCTATTTAACCTTCTTCCCAGGCGCGCTGTGAGTGTGAATGTTTGCAAAGCTGTGAGATCCTTACTTGAAAGGTGCTGTGAAAGTGCAAAGCATTATTAATATCCTTTACCTTCCTCATAATAGAGTATACATTCATGCGGGGGAATTTCTGGACATAAACCAGACAGCTGCAGAATGGCATTTCTTGAAAGCATCGCTGATTTATTTTGTGCTCTTTAATTCCATTTTGTATTGAACACACATTTGTCACAGGGCTCTTGTTCCACTGGGCCTTTTAAGTCCAAAACAGGCTTAGGGACCTGATCCTTAACCAGTATAAATTGGCCCCTAACTTCACTGTAGCTATTTGCTGATTTACACCAGAAGAGGACTGGGGCCAAATCTTTTAATTGAATTTCCATAGCCCGCCTAAGTTTCGGTGCAAAATCCAAGTGGTTTTCCTGACAGATAAGACTTTCCCTGGAACTAACAGGCTGCCTGCACTTCTGCAGAGGCTCCTCAAGGCGTCGGGCCCTGCGAACGACGCTGTTTTCCCAGGAACTCGATGCTCTGGATAGGTGCCTGCCTTCTCCATCCTGCTTCAAACCCGTTCAGCTCCAGAGTCCGTGCCTGGAAGCCCCGAGGGCTCATGCGGTTCCTTCACGTTGCACGAATTCTTGTGAAAACAAAACCGAAATAGCTTCTGGATTTGGGTTTAGGAGAGAGAAGAGAAACTTGCACGTTAGAGGGGTAGGGAAGGAGCGTTGATCCAGTCGGGATGCGGAAAAGCGGCTCATTGAGGTGCACTAAACCTGGAGCAAGGGAGGCCTGAGCCAAATCCAGCTGGAGAAGCAGGATTTGCTCCTTGAAAGCGGCCACAGCAACCTACACCTGGCCGGATTGTAACAGTGTCACTTAACACCCTCGGGAGCTGCATTTGACACTCGTTTTTGCTAGGACACCGCGAGCAAAGCGGAGTCCTCCTCTGTGCCAAAGCTTCTCCATCTGGAGGAGGAGGATCATCTCTCCAGACGATGCCCTGTTTGTTTTCTCCAAACGTACTCATGCATCTCCATCAACCAACCTGTTTGTAGCAGTTATTCCTCTAGTTTCTAACCCCCTACACACCCAAAATCAGAGAAAAATGGAAATTATCCATGTTAATCCTGCTGCTTTGTAGAGAGGGCTTTTCCCCCTCAATCTGGAAAAGTTTTCAACATCCCCTGCTAAAATACAAAGCATTTCCCTAACAGCCCAAGAAATCCCAGGGGAGAAACGAGAGGCAGCGCCTGGCTGCAAAGGGGACACGGGGAACACGCGATGGGTGCCCAGCACCGAGCGGTGCCACCCGGGCACATAACCCTGGGTGCCCGTTGCGGTTTGTGTCCCAGGCCCGTGTTTTCTTGTTAAAAAACCCAACTATATACACACAAATAAAAATACAATAAAAATAAAGCGGGTGCATTCAAGGAGCGCCTTTTCCCCCCTCTTTCTCCCCTCTTCCCTCCTCCTCCCCGCTTCGCCTCCGCTCTGTTTTCCTTTCCGAGGCTGCGATTTCAAAGCCGGAGCGGCTTTCCCAGAGCCGGAGGAATGCGCCGGCGCCCGCCGCGTTTTCCGTGGGGAGCAGCGCGGCCCGAAACGCGTGGCTGCCTCTTGAGCAATAGGACACATATATAGTGCATATATAGTCCATATAGAAAACAGCAAGCCAGGGTCAAGGAGCCAAGCGAGGTTCTTGCGAGTTTGTGTGGGAAGAGCTGATGTGAACCCCTCTATGCCTGTTCTCTTTTGCCATTAGATCCCTCCTGCGATGCAGGATGGGGCAGTAATATGAATTCTGGCCTCTCCAAATGTCAGTTGTCCCAACGGGGATCACAAATTCCGCAAGGAACGATCCAAATGAGGCTGGGGGTTTAGCCCTCTTGCATTGTGAGAGCCAGAACGGTGCAAGAGCTGGGGACAGTCACTAAAAGAGCCAGAATTTATTATGAAAAGCAAAACATTGACACAAGGCCTTTTACAACCAGGGCAGCTTGGGCAGGCTGAGGGTTTCTTACTACTTTTAAGAAAGCAAGATGCTACAAATGAAGTCTGCTTCACTCACGCAGGAGCTTTTTGGGTTGTTTTATGTTATTATTGTGTCTCCGAGCTCAGAATACACTCTGGGTCATGGGGTATCTCAGCAAGATACTACAGGGTTTGAATAAATGTGGCAGAACCCGGCGGTCAGATTATATTTCATTCGCTCTGCAGCTTTCTGAACCATGGGAACTCTGAATGTGAGGACTGTTCTTGGAGTTTTCTGCTATTAGGAATTATGTGACCAGGAGGAGCAGGTACTAATGGACCTGATTTAGAGAAATGGCCGTGATATTTTCAATGAAATGTTTGAATGCATAAAAACAAAGTGTCGCATAAAAGGGTTGATCAAAAAAAAAAAAAGTTCCCTTTCTAAAAGACATTGAAAATCGTTTCAGTGTGAAAGAAGGTCAAAATTTACAATTACTTTTTCCAGTTTTCTGTTTGAAACATGGAGGTAAATATGTACAATAAGTTATAACAAAAGATGGAAAATGAGTAAAACATCTACATAGTATTTCTCCTTGCCTAGACTACTTGCTTTTTCATGTTATAGTGAGATTTTTAATACGTGTCCAGTGAAATCTCAAAAACGTCAGCTTTTAGGATGAGAAAACATTTCCCATCCCAATCTCTGTCTCATTCCTGTTTGGTGTGTGCTTTCTGTTCCTTGTTCTGTTCATTCCGGCTTTTCTGCCCCCACACGTCTAAGACCTTTCTCTGTTTTTCCAGGCCCTCCTGTTGCAGGGACGCAAAATGTGAACAAGACGACAGAGCAGCAACGGCCCCAACCAGGTAACTAACCCAAACAACAGGGCCAAGCCCTGGTGGGCAGCGAGCAGTCGTGTTTCCTGCTTCCCGAGGGGCTTTTGGAAAGCTAAATACCCCCTTCCCTGCTTTGCACAGCTGCTTTCTATCCTTTTCTTCCCCTTTTTTTTAGGGAGTTGGTTCTTTTGGCATCAATTCAATCCACGAGCAAATGCTAGAGATCCAAATCACCAGAAACAGAGAGAAGCAAAGAGAAGGGTGGAGATTAGGGCTGCAGAGGCCCCACAGAAAGGGAAGGGATTCATTCCCAGCAAATGTACCGTGGGGTTTTCAAGAGACACTCGGCCTCACTGGAGCCACTGAGAAAAGTCCTGTTACTCTCATTTCTCTGATGCTCTGTTGGCTTCAGTGAAGGAGAGTTGGGCGAGCATTTCATTGACCTCACTGGAGAGCAAACTGAATTGTTAACAAGTGAATTTGCAAATCCCATCTGCTCATGAGCTCTTTTTATTAGGAGGAATATATTCACTTCTCATTTATTACTGCTGTGCTCTCACACACATGGTTTGTTCCATGCAACTCAACGTTCCTGTTGACACACAGAATGTGGAAGGTTGGTCCAGGAAAGATTAATATCTTTGAAAATGGGCCACTCTGCAGCCAGTGCCAGAACCACGGTGCCATTCTGGATTCCTTAAATAATTGGTGGTTGTTTGCTCAAAAAGAAAAAAGGGAGACGACAGGACTGTTCCAGGACTGCTAGGAAAAGAAGCAGTGCAAGTAAAGAAAGAAAGTGAAAAATTGCTCAGGTTTCAAGAATAACTAATAGTGAAGATTTTGTTGCTTTATCTTTGCTGAAGCATTTGTTAAAATCGCTTTTGTTCTTTTATTGTTGCTGTTACAGATCCCTATCAAATCCTGGGGCCCACTAGTAGCCGTCTTGCCAATCCAGGTGAGTTCAGACCACCACTTTGAAGGCAATCCTCTGTTTCCAGAGGGGTTCCTTCTCCTGTTCTTTCCTGTTCCACTGTACTAGATGAGTAGCTGTTGTCCTCTGCTAGACCAGGGATTTTAGCACAAAAATCCTTACCGTAAACGAGGAAAGTGTCTTTATCTGAACAAAATCACCGTCCTCAAAGCAGTCAGGGCTGTTCAAAAGAACGACTACATCATTAGAAACTGTCTAGGTAGGCACACGGTACTGACACTGATTGCAAATAGAAGTGTTTATTGCTGGAATGGGCTTGACTGCTTGTGAGGAGGGACCCTAATAAGGTTCTTTATCTTTGCTAATAGTATAACCACAGACTGGAAGTCACCCCGTCTGGGGAAGAAATAATCCTGGAGAGGAAACTAGGTATCTAGGTATCCGAGGCTATATCCATGGCAAACAGTAAGCAGGAGTTAAAATACACCATGTCAACCATTTGGGGAAAAGCTTTGCAGAACAGTGTGCTCGGAAAAAGCCTGTTTATGAACAGCCCGAAGATTTTTCAGGCCAAAGGCGACCATTATGAAATCTAATCTGACCTCCAACTCATAAACAGAACAAAGGGTTGACTAACTTGTTTGCTGGGAATAGTTTATCCATTCCTACGTAAGAGTTGCGAAGGCTTGAAGGAGCCGTTCCCAGTGCGGATCGAGATAGTCCTTCTGTTTCCTGCCTTTGTCCTTGCTTTCGGGCAGGAAGCACGGTGTCATTTCCTCTCCTCTTGCTCCTTGCAGGGAGCGGGCAGATCCAGCTGTGGCAGTTCCTCCTCGAGCTGCTCTCGGACAGTTCCAACGCCAGCTGCATCACGTGGGAAGGCACCAACGGGGAGTTCAAGATGACGGACCCTGACGAGGTGGCCCGGCGCTGGGGGGAACGCAAGAGCAAGCCCAACATGAATTACGACAAGCTGAGCCGGGCGCTGCGATACTACTACGATAAGAACATCATGACCAAGGTGCACGGCAAGAGGTATGCCTACAAATTTGACTTCCATGGCATCGCCCAGGCTCTTCAGCCTCATCCCACCGAATCTTCCATGTACAAGTATCCGTCGGATCTCTCCTACATGCCTTCCTACCATGCCCACCAGCAGAAGGTGAACTTTGTACCCCCGCACCCCTCCTCCATGCCCGTCACATCGTCCAGTTTCTTCGGAGCAGCCTCCCCTTATTGGACCTCCCCTACTGGAAGCATCTACCCAAACCCCAACGTCCCTCGCCATCCCAACGCCCACGTATCACCACACTTGGGCACCTATTACTAGATGCTTTTATCTTCAAGGGGCCTTATCAGTTTGGTTGGACACCTTCTTTACTTCTGGGATTTTTATTTGTTGTTATTTTTTTCCGGGACCCTTAATGGATAACTGTGGCCTTCCTGGGGGATAGTTAAAACTGGATATTGGTTATTCCTGGATCAAACCTTTAACTTTTGTAACTTTTGTCTCTTGTGTCTTCAGCTGAGAGATGGATGCTTCTTTGGGCCAGTACTCTGCCTTTTCTTTGGGTTTTTAATGCTTATGCCCTCTGTAGGAGCTGACCATGAAGATTGTTCACCACGACTTGGAATGATTATTAGCGTTTCGATCACAGAATTTTTAAGAATTCAAAGGCTTCTTAGAAGACATAGATCCAACTGTGGGTTGTAGGAAAAGATGACTACATGGGTTTGTTTCTCGCTTTGGAGAGGGTAGGCAGTTTGACCATTAAGTCAGGAGGACCTTGGGCTGCAGGGGACTGCAACTGGAATCTTAGTTTTAAGGCAAACGAGGAGTTTCACCCAACTGGAAATTAAATATATATATATTCATATATATATATATATATATGTACATGTATATTTTAAGAAGGGCATTGAAGGAAGTTTTCTAGACTGTACAACTTCTTTAGACTGTATATTAACTCCAGACACATCAGAGACCAGACGAAATAAAGTAACCTAATGTCAAGACATTCCTTGAAAGTGAAGTAAAATAAATGACAGCAGGTCCTTGAGCTCTGCCAAGGGCTAAAGGGATCGCTAAGTGCTACCGATTCGCGAACGCTGTGCGTTTGTCAGACCGTCATCCAAAGGGTCAACAAATCAGAAGGCAAATTACTGTATAAGTTATGCAGAGTTATTTTTTTTTCCCTATATCTCACAGTATTAAAAGAAAGATTAAATAAAACGAGTTGACCTCGGTCACAAATGCAGGTTTGTTTTTTTGTTACTATCAGCTCAGTTGTTTGTGGGTTGTTTTTGTTTTGTTTTTAATGTAATTTGTACATCTTTTCAATCTGTACATTTGGGCTGTAGCTTTGTACTTTTTACTAAAAAAGAAAAAATTAAAAAAATTAGACATGAGTAATGTATCTGTTGGAGATAGCCTCCGTGCTGCAATTGGATCCCTACCTGACCCCAAAACTAGCCAGAAACCTTCCAGACTTCTCTGCGTTTGTCGACAATAGAGATTTTTCTTGTATTAGCCTGTCAAAACTGTCTGCAAATTAACTCCATTTGGCTAATATGTTTGCATTAAAGCTGAGCAGGAACAGGCATCACCATCTTAAAGCAACGTTTGCAATATTCAGGGATTATTTTTCATCAGATTTGAAAACTTTGGAAGTATCTGTCTGCTTCTGCAAACTTATCACTAAGGGTTTACACTTAAATTTTAAACATTTAACTTAAATTTTAAACATTTTAGAGTTTTCAGACGTCTGAATTTGGCAGCTGTTGATTTGGTGAGCTGCAAATGGTGGTTTAGCGCCACGAACAGAAGGGAAAAACCACAAACATTTGTGTTTTTGGAACAGATGTCTATGGGGTGGGGGTCAGGCTTACATGTACAACCCTTTAATTCACTTTTTTAACCGGGAACCAATTAACAGGATCGCAAACGTCTCGTCTAGACGTAACCTCTGGGCCTGCGCGTGGGTGCCGGGTTTGGTCTACGTGCCTCCAATTGCAGCACGAGAGCCTAAAACCAGGACATTATAGTCTGCTTATAACTTTAAACAGAAGCACTGATGCCGTTATTTAACAGAAAGGAAGAAAAAATTATTGAGCTAATCAGTTTAGGGCTTAGTGCTTTTGGGGTGTTCCTAAGTAACATTACTGCAATAATCGCAAAAATAAGAAGTATGAAGAAATTACCCACAGAACTGGGGCTTTTGCTACTATATATATGCAATGTACGTTTTGGATATTAAAATATATATAATTTTGCAAGTAATCTTGGTGTTTTTTTTTTAAATGTATTGTTACAATTAAACTGTTGTATGAGGAGTATGATGTAAAAAAATGTGACAAATAAATGGTGGTTTCCTTTGAGGCATCACAGTGTCCCACTCTCTCCCTCCTCTCTCAGACTTGTTGATAACGCAGGAACCTTAAATTTAAATTGAACTTGGCTAAAAGGAAAATAAAGAAGCAGTGACGCTTGGCATGGCTATAAAATAATATCAACCTCCTATTGCAGCAAATCGGTGTCGCTGGGGCCTGTGTTTTTCGTGTCGTAAGAGTGTTTTGCTTCTTATCTCTACTGGTTTTCACTGTAGCATGATCCGGATTCATCCCGGCTGTGCCTCATCCACAGAAATATCGAGTATTTGCCTTTTTAACACAACGTGCCTGCCCAGCTGCCAGGATCGGAAGGAAAATCCGAAGACCGAGTTCGCCAAAAAACGACTTCAGGCCAAATCTACAAGGCGATTTTGACGGCAAAGCTTGGCCAGGAGGATCCTTGGTGAAAACACACCTTGGAAAACAACCAGCGATCGCAGAAACACCCGTTTTGGACTGCCCAGCTCGAAAGATATTCAAGTATCTTGAAGATAGAAGGTCATGAGTTTTTGCTTTTCCCAATGCAAGTATTCTAGGCTTATATCGGAAACTTTATAAACCAGATGATCAGGATCACATGACTGTGCACTGTGAGCCAGCAGGGACGGCAGAAAACCCGCTCCCTGTGGAAGTTCAGGAGCGAAACCTCAACAGGGAAACCGTTTTCACGGAAATCACTGAGAATTTGGCTGTTCGGCTCTGGAGAGCTGTTATTCACTCAGGATTTGTCCCGGATTTTGTGTGCTGCTTTCCTGCACAAAGATGCTGCTTCTCCCTTTCCAGAAACTGCAAAAAAAAAGGGTGTTTTGGGGGCCTTTTCCTTATTTTTTTGGCCTTTTCCTTAAAATGGGCTCCCGGCGCACGTGATTGAGGGGTGTCGCGCACGTGAGAGGGGGGTGCCCGGCACGTGGCGGCGGTGCGGCGCGTGATTGGCTGGGCCCCGGCACGCGGCCGCACGTGATTGGGGGAGCCCGGCACGCGGCCTCACGTGATTGGCTGCAAGGGGGGCGGGGGGGGGGGCCCCTCCGCATGCGCGGGTTTCCCGCCTCGCGCGTCTGTGGGGTTTTCCACCAATTTTCTCTCTCCCTGGCAGCCAGGTGCCCTCAGGTATCGTGGGGAGCCCCCTCTGGGGTTGCAGTGCCCCTCCTGCCCTTGGAAGGGTGTGAGGTGTGCTGAGTTGGGGGTTAGGTGCCAGTTCTCAGCGTTAACGATGTGCCTGAGGGCACGCTGTGAGTTGGGGTTGCAATGCCCCTCCTGCCCTTGGAAGGGTGTGCAGTGTGCTGAGTTGGGGGTTAGGCGCCAGTTCTCAGCGTTAACGATGTGCCCAAGGGCCCGCTGTGAGGTTGGTGGGGCTGTGGCAGTGGTGGGAGCGTGTGGGAAACCTCTCAGGGCTTTGGTAGAAGCCTGCTTGCAGCTACAGCGGTAACCCTGTAGGGTTTATTCATTTGGGGCCCCTCTTGTTGTGTTTGTAAGCTATAGGCCATGAAGAGCCATAAATTTGGGCTGCTAGATGCTGTCAGGTGATGCCGTGGTTTGCAGACATTGCAGCGGTGGCTGCAGGCCCTTTGTGTGAGGTTTTTGTAGGCTCTGCAAGATAGCAAAAACACTTTGAAATCAGAGGGGGCTTCAGCTGAACAGGCGCTTTTGGGCACAGTTGCAAAACCAATGAACTAGAACTCGATTTTCCCAAGGTGGCCTGTTCCGTTTTTTTTTTTTTTTTTTTTTAAACATCTGGGGAAACTGAGGCTCTGCAAGGGGAATGTGCCTGGCTTGAAGTTGCAGAGCAGAGTTGCAAATGGTATATAGGTCTCCCCAGACCCAGCTCAGTGCTGCTAACCCACCCCTCCTACTTCAGACTGTTAAGGGTGCCTTAGATGCCACTGCAGACATGATGTTTACAGCCCCCAACCGCCCACTTACATCCCACCTCTGAATTCACTGCAGTGAGTTAACTCTCCCAACACTTCAGTGAAGTGGCTAAATATACCCAGCTAGCAGAGCTCGTGCCAAAAACAAGTCACTAAATGCATTAAGCTCCGTGTCATAAAACAAGGAGCAGTCCCAATAAATTTTTGCTTTGCTGTTTCGGCGTTGCCGTAGCTCGCACTGTTAGGTTTGCTGCACTGCCAATGTCAAGTTGAGGGTTGCTGCCTGAGATGCGAGGTGGAAGTTGGGTCCATCTGGAGGTAAGGGCTGCCATCCAGCGGCAACAAGCCAGAAGACACTGGTGGAGCTCTCGGATCGGTCTGAGGCTCCTGTGTGGTTTTCAGCATCTTCATTTTGGCAGTGTGTTGTCACGGGGGCTGCCGAGCTTGCCTGGGACACAGTCATGCAGGAGAGCGAAGGCCCCGGCGCTTCGTGATGAACGCTAATTAGCAATGCAGTCTGCAGATTGCAGTGGGAAGTGAGGCTCTAATCTCCAGCTTCCCCTTGCTCCTTCAGCTCCCTGGAGCAGGGGGGTTTATTTCTTCCTTGTGCAGCGCAGTTCATTCAAGTCGTTTGCTTCCCCAGGCAGATGCTCCCACCACAGGAATGTCAACTTGGCCTCAGGAGACATCCTGTATATTCTAGCAGCCGTGGAGAGAGGGCTTGAACCTCCTCACTCTTGTTTCCAACAAAACTGTCGCAGGGTTATGCTTGATTTGGGGTTAGTGGCAGCATTCCTTGGGCTGCAGCGGTAAGCGGCACAGCTTCGTGGGAGGGTGTAGGAACTTGCCCTGTCCCTTCCCAGCTGAGTCCATGTGAGTGTAACCACGTGGCTCTGCTCTGGCAGAGAGCGAGGCGGCTGCGACACCTCAGCTGCTCTCGCTCATCCGGGCGCTTTGTGCACTGCTGACTTGTTTATGGGTGCGTGGCTGGGTTTACAAGACGTGCGTGCGCGCAGGAGCTACCCGGGCCCTTGCTGCGTGCTGCTTAGCAGCCGTCTGCTACATTCCTACAGTGCGAGTCAGTATGAGTATCTAAACAGTTTGCCAGAGTTTGCATTATTACTTAGGAGTGCCTTTCTCTACCCCATTACTAGCAAAGATTTTGTGGAGACAGCTCAGTTTACTAAAAGCAGTTATTTCAATTCATGGCCCTCTCTCCAGCAGTCAGCAGGATGCCTTATTCATTTGCCGGCAGGAGGGTAAATATATTTCAAAATGATTGAAATATTATGCACAGCGTGAATGAATGTTTGAAATAAATACAGTAGAAGAAACATGTTGTTTGTGAAATGAGAAGATAAATTAAGTTTAGTGTAGACACGCTATTTCCAAGCCTAGTAGCTTGCCTCATACTTCCAGAGCTAAATTCTCTAGGCCTTAATCCTGCAATGGTTTGATTTCATGTTAAAACCTTCTGAGTCTCAAGTTGTCTGTGCCCATTGGATAGACTCCTGGGGAGACCACTGGTCTTCCAAGGTTCCCTGGTGAGCCAGTAGTAGCAAGGGTGAGAAAATGCACTGACATAATGTAGCATGGATGTGCATTAGTATAAGGGTGAGAAAACGCACTGACATAATAGCATAATGTAGCATGGATGTGCATTAGTACAAGTCGAATTCTGCAGCAGCTTTTTTGGCTAGGCTGTTAAGCTTCTGTGCATTCTATTCCATGAAAAGCACCAGTTGTGGCTGCTGCAGAATGGGCGGATAGAAGGAAGAGAGAACCAAAAGGCCTCAGGAATGTTGAGGAGATGGTGGAGTGAAGCACTATCATGGGCAGTGTAAAGAAACCACCTTTGTTTTCTAGTATCGGCTCTGCGGGTTCCCTCCAGCCACTTCTGCTCAACAAGATTAAATTTATTTTCATCCTCTTAACTGAACTTGGTTTTAATGGCAGTAGGGGTGACAGGCCTCAAAATAGATTTCCTAAGGAGTCTGTCCAGAGTGGCACAGCATGCAGCATGTATCCCGATAACACTTCTTCCCTGCCCTGGAACTTTATCTCTCTGGTGACAAACAGCCCTCCCTGGACAGAAAGAGGAAATGCCACTTGTTGCTGCCCACGGAGGCCCGGGAGGGCTTCATGAAGGCACCTAGGGCCCCCTGGCCATGTGCACATGGGCCTGGAGGGACCTTGCTGGCCTCCACGCGGCCCCCCAGTGCCTCTGTGTGCCCTGGGGGCCCCAGGGGAGCCTTATGGCCTTTCCTTTAGCCACCTGGGGCCTCTGTGTGCCTGGCCCTGGCAGGGCTTTCTCCCTTTCTTTCAAAACCAATGAATCCAGCAGTATTTAAAAACACTTCCATGTCTCTGTAGCACTGAAAATAAATGAGGTCAGTTCTGTCACTGGGAAGTCTGTCCTCTCTCCCCACCCTACCTCCCCCAAACCTTCCTCTATAGTCTATCACTTGAAGTTTCAGCAAAAGAACTGATGGAGAAAAAAAGGCTGTGAGGAAGTGGAAATTCAAATGTTATTGAAGCTTCTTGTAGCTTTTGAAATTTAAAAATGTCCAAAAACAAACAAACAAACCAAGAAACATAGCAGGAAATGTTTGCCACATCTGAGCTGATTTTACACCACTGAGCTATAGCTGTTTCCTTTAGAGATGCACTTTTTGCTGTGATGAGATGAACCATTTAGAAGGCTACGTTGGTGGAATGCAGGTGTACATCTTTGTTGTATTTTTATTTTAATAAGACAGTGCTTGAAAGAAGATAATCCTTATTTGCCTTCTTTTTAAATTTTGTTTTGTTGTTGTTTTCCGAAGGTGCATCCAGGGAATTTCCTCCCTTCTCCCAGTAGATGGCTTCCCTGCCATGCATGCCAGAACTGGCGTTTTCTGTGGCTCACCTTTCTGGACAGCTGTTTTTGGATACTTCCAGATTTCACAGGTCATCAGCCTCCGGAGAAGTGGTCAGAAGAGTATCTAGAAGGTGAGAAGCTACAAAATTCTTCCTCATAGCGGGTCTCTTTGTGGCTCTCCTTGTTCTTTTTCATTTTCCATTTGTTTCTTTTTTCATAAAAGGAATCAAAACATTTCACAGAGTGTTTTACCCAGCTTTGGGTGCAGCACTATGACTGAAGCTGTCTTTTCCACTAGCTTTCTAAGCACGTACCATCCATTAATGCTCAGTTTCTCTAGATGTACCTGCCTCAAGAAGGGATAATTTTGAAATGTTCAAAAGTGCTTAAGTGTTCTGGAGCCATAGTGTCTGCTTGCAGAGATGACTTTAGGCAATTAGAAACATTTTTTTTTGTGGTTTTTGACTCCTGAGTCCCTTAGATTTTTTGACAAGTTTGACTTCTATTCACTGTTCATTCTTTTGTTCCAACAGCTGTCTATCTTATAATGTCCTTTTTTCTGTCTCTTCTGGCTTTATAACAGTCTTGTATGCTTCTGGGAACTTAAGTGAGTTGGCCATTCCAACTTAGCAGCTTCATAAAATATCCCACAGGTACAAAAATATAAATACTATGAAATATATACATAGCATGGTTAAATAGCATTCTGGAGATCACTGTGTTGGTCCTCTGATTTAAGGGTTTTGAGAAGATAAATGCTGTTTTAGAAATAAAATGAATCCATGTGTTTCTCTGCTGTTTTACTAATTTATTAAGCCTGTCAAGATAGATTTCATTACGAAGAAAGTTAAATCCCACGAATATTCAGAGCTACATTTGTGTGTCACTGGTTTCACTAGCTTCGGACATGACAAAACCGGGGTTGTCATAACCTTTCTTCTCTTTGGCTTTGGTTTCTTTCTCATTGTAGAGACAGAAGGCGCAGTGGGGAGTCTCCACAGCCACTGTCTTGCTGAAGTTCTGGAAGTCCACTCTGTATTTCCCTTCTTTGGTCTTGGACACAATGGGAGCAAAGCGATAACCCCAAAGCACCTCTTCTGGTATGTAGGATGTCCTTACTTGACAGGTAGCACTAGTGGCTTCCACAGTGCCATCCAGAAACACCACCAGTTCAAAATCTTGCTGCAGAATCGTTTCTGCTGCCATGTGGAAAAAAGGGCTGTTCTTATCTATGACATGATAAATAGTTAAAGGGGAGATGAAGAAGAGATTCTCATTGCCAGCATCAACTACAAATTCTATGTTGACCTGGTCCAGAATGATTGTTTCTCCTTCGGGGGTGATGGTGGTCTTGAGCAGTTTTCCGTAGATGTGGCTCCCAATCAGCAGGCTCTTCCTGAGGTTTGCCACCCGGATGAGGAGGCACAGCTTCCCCGCACGCTTGCTGATGACAGCATTCTTGCTGAAGGTGATGGTCTTAGCCCGATTTTTGGATCTCGATATCTTGGCCAAGATGGCCCCACACATGAAAGAATTGATGATGACCCCTAGGAT